AATAAAATTTAAATCATCCTGGCTTTCAGTTAAAGTATTTTGTTTTGCATTTATTAGAATGGGACCTAATATTTTATAAGATATTATTTTTTATAAGAATTTTTAAAAGAAACTTCTTAAACATGAGTCCTTAAGTATGCCTGCAGAGGAATAAATTTATAAGTACTTGATGTGTGGTTTGCTGGATTAGAGTTACCAACTGTGCTACCCCATGTTGCTTTCGGCCCTCTATCATCTTAGACACCCAGGCATCAAAGCCAGGAAGACAGCTTTGTTAGTACCATCTGGCTCTACCTCTGGGGTTCGATTCCATTCCTTTGAGATAACTCTTTTTTTTTTTTTAAGATTTTATTTATTTATCTGGGAGAGAGCAAGCACGAGAGCAGTGCAGAGGAGGGGCAGAGGAAGAGGGAGAAGCAGGATCCCCGCTGAGCAGGGAGCCCGATGTGGGACTCCATCCCAGGACCCTGAGATCACGACCTGAGCTGAAAGCAGACACTTAACACACTGAGCCACATAGGCACCCCTCCTTTGACATAATTCTTGATAATTATTGGCTTAGATTAGGAGCAAAAAAAAATAAATAATTGGCTTAGGTATGTTCTTATCTGAAAGGCACTTCCCATGTAAAGTTTTCCTTCTTTTTTTTTCCTCTGGGTCTCTGTTAACACTTCATTGGTTCTCTCCACTATTATACTTACTCTCACTGGATTATTCCTGTCCTAAGCCTGTTACTGGAAGGAATTCTCACAAAGGAGAATTGAAATCTCAGTTCAAGAGTCCAGTTCAGATTTAGCTGAGAAACTTAAAGAAGAATATTCGTATAGGAAGTACATTGTCCATAAGTTTAATGACTTTTCACAATGTGAACATACCTATGAGGGAGAAACAGAATATTACCAGACCCTAGAAGCCCCTTGTGCTCTCTTTTAGTCTCTGCCTAAACCTGGGAGTATAACCATCATCCTGCCTCCAGTGCCATAGATTACTTTTGCCTGTTGTTGGAATTTATATAAATGGAATCTTAGAGCATACACTTTTTTGTACTTTTTGCTTAATATGTTTGTGAGACTTATCCTTGTTACATTGTTGTAATATTCCTTCTGATGAATATACCTCTGCTTGTTGCACTGATGATTTGTGTAGTTTTCAGGTTTTGCTTATAAAGAGTGCTTCTATGAATGTACTTTTGTCTTTTGGGCACATATGTAGTTATTTCTCTTGATTTATACCCAAGAGTAGAATTGCTGGGTCATTAGATATGTTGGTATTTGGAAATACTGCCAGTTTTCAAAGTGGTAGTTTACATTGTCAACAGCAGTGTACAAGAATTCCAGTTTGAACACACATTTAGTCAATCACATTCCTAGGATGGGAGCCTGATTGGCCCAACTTGGAGCAGATGTCTGGTCAATTACAATGAGGGGACCCATGTGGGGGGTTGGGGTGGTTCAGGGGTCATGTGATACAGACATGGTTTGGGAAAGCCCACTGCTGATAGGCTCTAGCAGAAGTAGAGGTAGTTTCTAGAAAATGAGAGATTGTGTGAATTGTGTGGATCTCCTAAAAGGTTTCAACATAGTATTTGCAAATGAGATGCACAAAGAGACGCTCTGAGTTGGAGGTACAGCTTTGAGTGATCAGCAAAGTAATGTAGTTAAAGCCATGTGACTAGGTGAGCGTGCCCAAAGAGAATTCTGAGTGAGATGAGAGCGGGTGGTTCATGGTGGAACTCTGGAAAACACCAGCAATTTTAGGATGACCAGAAGAATCTCTCAAGGAGACTGAGAAGGTGTGATCAGAGGGCCAAGGGAATGTGGTATCATGGAAGCCAAGAAAGAATCCTTGAAAGACAGCAGTCAAAAGTGGTGACTGCTTCTGCAAAGTCGGTGGCTAAAAAGTTTTTACCTGATGGAGGGATAAGGAGGTCAGTGGCCTTCTGAGAGGAATTTCAGTGAAATGGTGGAGTGCAACACGTACAGATGAGTGAAAGCTGCGGGCAGTAGAGATAACAGCTGTGGCCAGGCCTCTCAAGTTACTTAGAAAGGAGGACACAAGGGGGTGGAGTTTGAGGGAAGGCAATCAGAAAGTAGCAGAGACTGGAGCATGCTAACCTGCTGATGGGAAAGATCTGCGAGAGAAAATATTCTGACAAGTGCGGTCTCTCTGGTGGTAGTGGGAACGGCTGGGATCCAAGCTCTGGGAAGTGTGTTGGCCTTAGGAGGACACAGAAAGACTTCTTGCACTCCAGCAGTGAGGAAGCAGGAAAGGGTGGCTGGAGTGGTAGCAGGTTGCAAGGGTCCGTCAGTCAGCACTTGGGAGGTGCTCGGTAAATATTGGTTGAATTGACTGAATGACTTAATACTGTCAGGCATTACATCCTGCAGTCTCATCTGTCAGGTTTTCTGCGCTTTCAGATCTCCCGTGAAAAGGGATCTGCCGCCTAGCTTATGTTACTCGGGAGAGCATTTGTTTCCACATTTACCACCACAGAATGTGTAATAGCTTGGAATTACTGCTTGCTAAAGAAATCCAGATGTGTTTTCTTTATATGGTGCCCATCTGTTTCCCAGGAGGAAGCAGACCATGCAGAGATCTTCAGGTGCTTCTGCAGTATGTAGACGTTGTGACTATAAATGTGTGTACTGACTTCAGTCAGTGTGTGTGTGTCTATATATAGTATGTATATTCTAATATGTATATATTTACACATTAGACCATACGTATCCAAATATTACCTTTAGTTTGGGAAAATAGAAAATACTTGCATTGACTTTACAAAATGTTATGATTGCATTTTTGGAGTTGTTTTCAGACCTTGGGCCACACTACTTTGAATGTCTTTATTTATTTATTTATTTGACAGAGAGACAGCGAGAGAGGGAACACAAGCAGGGGGAGTGGGAGAGGGAGAAGCAGGGAGCCCGATGTGGGGCTCGATCCCAGGACGCGGGGATCATGACCTGAGCCGAAGGCAGACGCTTAACGACTGAGCCACCCAGGCGCCCCTTGAATGTCTTTAATGGTGGTAATTGGATGGCTTCAGACAGCCAGGTGTTGTTCGGAATCAACTCTGTTGCTTTTCCTCATCCGATTTCCGCTATGTGTCTCAAATCCTTTTAAAGTCAATTACATAACCTAATGATATCTGTGGAATACAACTGCGCAGTCCCTGAAAAGGGCAATAATAACGGAGTCCTCACTTGGGGACGTCGGAAGGGCCAACCGTAGCACCATGTTATTGCTGAAAGCCCCATACTGGGACTGGTGTCACACGGAGCGCCTTAGTAGCAGGATAATTAAAGTTGTCCTAAAAAGGCTTCTATTTAGAAGCACTCTGTTTTTATTTATTTTTCCATATCCGTGTGCCACTGTTGCCTTTCAAGTAAGAAATTTAAACTGCTACCCTCTGATTTATATTCGTTGTGCCCCTTATGCTAGTTCCTGCTGCTGCCCATGAAACCTCAGGAGCTCTTCTTCGCTCCACGTCAAGTAGTTCGTTCTTTTCGCAGTTACACTACCGCCGCTTTTCTCTTCTCCGCTGGGCTAGACTCTGTTTACACTGTACTTTCTACTTCTTGACACTTGACGTTTTCTTAATGCTAGAATGTAAAGTTGGATCACAAGGGACTGCTGTTCTTACTTGAAAGGGATGAAAACAATGAACTAAAAGAAAATTCAACTTTTTGTTCAGTCTCCTGGATGTGTCCATTTTTTTTCCCTCCGATGTGTCATTTTTGAATAAATGGCTTGTCACGGGGTTATTGACGTACTCTCTACCAGATTTTAATACCGAAAGTAATTTATCATTTGTTAACATCCAAGAAAAGCAATATTACCCGAATTAGACTAGATAGGTAAGTTTATTTTACAAAAAACTGACCCTGTCCCGAAAATATGAACCCTCTGACAGGACTAGTAACTGCTCGAAGTCTCCAGATGGGCCACAAGTGGGATGTAAATTGGAAGAAGAAGTGAGTTTGGGTTAGGCAGTCTTGAAATGTTTTGGCTCTGCATGTGTGGTGGGTTTGTGTAAGATTTTTAGAATGGTCTTTTAATAAAATGCCTCCTGAAAAAGGGTTGTCATAGGCTAAGTATGATAGTTTCTCTTTCATACCTTACAATCATGTCAGGAGAATGCCGGTATCCTTATAGTTTCTAAATAAGAACTTGTAAAGGGTACGTGAGTTTCTGTGCTTGTTCCCCCCCCCTTATTTTTTTCTTTAAAAAAAATTTCAATTCCCCAAGTAGTCATAGTTTTTTACTGGCATGCACTAAGAAAGAAAAGTTTATTTGATGTTTGACCACTTGTTAATAGGTTACTTCTCTCTGGAAATGATAATGTTAATGTTTGTCTAACCTGTTGTTTTTAGTATTGTGTTATTTTGGAACAAACTAAATGCAGTGGGAAGAAAGTTCAGAAATAAAACAATCTGAGGATAAGTGGTTTATGTGATGCCATGCCCCCTCAAATACAAAGACATTCTCTAACTAAACCACAAAATGACCATCCAAATCAGGAAATTAACATTGGTACATTACCACCATCCAATTTGTAGACCCCATTCAAATATTGCCAGTTTTCCCATTAATGTCCTTTATTGCAAAAAGTTCAGAATCACAATTGAATCTGTCGTGTCTCCTTCAATCTGAAACTAACATTCTTTGTTTGACTTGCAATGATTTTGACTCTTTTGAAGATTACAGTTATTTTGTACAATGTCTCTGTTTGGGTTTGACTGGTGTTTCTTGTGATTTGATTCACATCTTTGTTAGCACTTTCACACCTGCTGCGTGTAGTCTCTCTCGGCATGATTTCAGTTTGGCCCCATTACTGATACCGGTCACTTTGATCTCTTGATTAAGGTGATGCCTGAAAGACTTACTACTGAAATTACTTACTATTTGAACTTACTATTTTCCCCTTGGAATTAATGCTTTTGTGTGGAGGTATATTAAAACTATGTGTATCTTGTTCGTTGTCAGACTTTAGTTTTTTTCATTTACTTAATTATATCAAAATGGACTCATGTTTCCTTCAATGGATTATAATCTGTTACTATCATTATCTTAATGCTCGAATTGTTCTAGATTTGACCATTGAGAACTCCCTTCAGGCTGACTTCTGCATCTTTTTGATGTGTCCCATTATTCGTTGAGAACCTCCTTGCTATTTAGTACAGCAAGATGCCTCCGGCTCATTTTGTCCTTTCTGTGTCCCAGCCCTGGAATTAGCCATTTCTCTAAGGAATCCTGGTTCCCTTTGGATAAGAATGGTATTTAGAAGCCAAGATCCGGATGTTAGATATGCTCATTATTGGGAGTGTTACTGCTCACAGCCCCTACAGAAAGAGAAGATATACCCATATAAGTATAAAAAATATAAATATATGAAATTTAAATATATAAACATATATATATTAAGTATTTGAATCTTTTAAAATGTTTGTTTATCTTTTTGGTTTTATTTATAGTTTTACATATTAAAAACCATGAACTCCTACCAGTACTTCCAGTTTCATTCCAGTGCTACAGAATTCATTCTAGTTTTCTCCTTTACATATTGTGGCTCCTTTTTTTTTGACAGGATAAATCTGACTTCCATTAATCTTGGTATATTTGCTTATTTGATCAGTTTTCCTGTATGTGACAGCCTCTCATCTCTGCCACCACTCCTTCCCCTACATAGATGCCTTCCCCACCTGATTTGGGCTCTAACAGCTTGTTTTGAGCCTACCCTCCATGCAGGTGCCTTCTTCATTCCATTCGGGTCCTGCCACCCCACACTAATCCCCCTTCCACTATGCTTAGGCTGCTTTACCCCCATGCTGGTTGCCCCTCTGCAGGGATGCCCTCCAGCCACACTCGAAGTCCGACTCCCCACATTAGCGCCCACTCCTCTCCCCCTCCATGAGTGCCCTTTTCAGAAGGAATCCTTAGATTGAAGAAGCATTATGAGTCCCAAGCAGGAGAAACAAAATCACATTTGTATCTGACACAACCATGGTGAAACTGCAGAATGCAGAAGCGGAAAGACCAAAGAAAATCTCAAATTTACAGAAGATCTTTTATTTATTTTTTTTATTTTTTTTTTTAAAGATTTTATTTATTTATTTGAGAGAGAGAGCAAGAGAGAGAGCACAAGTCAGGGGCAAGGAGAGGGAGAAGCAGACTCTCTGCTGAGCAGGGAGCCCGACTGGGGCTCCAACGCAGGCTTGATCCCAGGACCCCGGATTATGATCTGAGCCAAAAGCAGACACTTGACTGACAGAGCCACCCAGGCCCCCCCAGCTGTCAATATTTATCTGAGATAATAAATGTAAACAGATTAAACTCAACAGTGAAAAGGACAGAAATTGCCAAATTTATTAACATCCTAGACTGAGGATTTTACTTCCCATACAAAAGATCTCTTTGAAAACATTACTCAGCTGTACTGAGCAAAATTTAACAGAGAAGGAATAAGAATGCAGAAGAAACATTGCACAAGGAAATGAGTAAAATACAAGAATAAAAAATTAATAAAACTTAATATTTTGTTGTTGGTTTTTGTTCTGTTTTTAATGTAAGCTCTACACCCAATGTGGGGCTTGAACTCATGACCCCGAGATCAAGAGTTGCATGCTCCACTGACTGAGCCAGCCAGGGACCCCAAAACTTAGTATTTTAAACCCGGTTTTATGTACCACCTAATGCGGAGTTCTTGTGTGGAATGTGTGAAGCAGGCAAGTAAACTCCTTGGTTAGATAACTGTTTTGCTTTGAAGCTTGTCCTTGGGTCCATTAGTGTTTCATCATGATTTTTTGTAAAACCTCACCTAAGCCCTAGAGCTTTCATGATTTGTTTTTGCTTCTTTGTACCTACTCCTCCTCCACCCCCAAAATCAATTATATAGTAGCTCATTTTTTATGAGCTCTTCTGACTTGTCTCTAGATTACATTTTAAATCTGCCTAACAAAAATTGCACTTTGTAGCACACACTGTTTAGTTATCTTAACTAACGCTTCAGTCTCTCTCAGGGACTCCATGAATCATCAGTGTTAAAATAAATTTTTCTTTTTGATCTGGATAGTCCAGGAAGAGTAGTTTATAACATAACTGAAACAGAACAGAAACAGAAGTAATGCATACAGCAGTTGGCTAGTAACCAGCAATAACTTTCACATGTTGAGTGTAGTATTCTCAGCAAGACCATGTTTATATCCCTTCTGAGCACTTGGCATTTAAGCCATTATCTGGACTGACCTCAGCAGGATCCCTAAAATTCGTGTGTGTGTGTTTGTATATGTATGTATATGTATCTTCATTCTTCCTTTCCTCATTCGCTCCTTTCCTGTAGTATCTCAGCAAGACCATGTTTATATCCCTTCTGAGCACTTGGCATTTAAGCCATTATCTGGACTGACCTCAGCAGGATCCCTAAAATTCGTGTGTGTGTGTTTGTATATGTATGTATATGTATCTTCATTCTTCCTTTCCTCATTCGCTCCTTTCCTGTAGTATCTCAGCAAGACCATGTCTTGGCATTTAAGCCATTGTCTGGAGTGACCTCAGCAGGATCTCTCAAATTCATGTGCGTGTGTGCATGTGTGTGTGTGTGTGTATGTATATGTATGTATATGTATCTTATTCTTCCTTCCTTTCCTCATTCACTCCTTTTTTCCTCTCTTCAATAAGGAAGTGCTTTTGAGAGCAAATAACAAAGGACTACAACCCATACAGATGATACTAGACTAATTTGTTTGTTACCAAGCATATTGATCTGTTGAAATATTAAGAGTATATTGGCTTAAGAACACATTTACAATTAATAAATTGGTTTCACCATCACCGTATGAATGCAGTTTCTTAAGATTTGTTTGTAATAGAAGTACCTAATGCTTCTTCCTCTTGTTCAGACCACTTGTCCCACGAAACTTTTTTTTTTTTAACATGGGTTTCACTAGTGTAGAGCTAGTTTTTTTTTAATTTTATTTTATTATGTTAGTCCCCATATGTTACATCATTAGTTTTTGATGTAGTGTTCCATGATTCATTGTTTGTGTATAACACCCAGTGCTCCATTCAATACGTGCCCTCTTTAATACCCATC